ATGAGCCCTTCCAAGCAGCGACAACATCGCATCTCCACCGGAGAATCCAAGTCCAAATCAGTCAGATCCGGTTCTTCCTCCGCCGTACCGGAATGGATTTCCGAATCAATCAACGGCGGTTCTCTCCGCCGCGTAGATCCCGATACAGGCACAGATGGCTGGGCTTCTCCTCCCGGCGACGTTTTCTCTCTCCGCTCCAATTCTTACTTGACCAAAAAACACAAATCTCCCGCCGGAGATTACCTCCTCTCTCCTTCCGGTATGGACTGGCTCAAATCAGCTACGAAACTCGACAACGTGCTCGCTCGTCCCGATAATCGTGTTGCTCACGCGCTTAGAAAAGCTCAATCTCGATGTCAATCTCTAAAGAGCTTCATCTTCGCCGTGAATCTACAAATTCCAGGTAAAGATCACCATAGCGCTGTGTTCTACTTCGCGACGGAGGAACCGATTCCTTCCGGTTCGCTTCTCCACCGGTTTATAAACGGAGACGACTCGTTCCGGAATCAGAGATTCAAAATCGTGAATCGGATTGTGAAAGGACCTTGGGTAGTGAAAGCTGCGGTTGGTAACTATGGTGCTTGTCTTTTAGGTAAAGCATTGACGTGCAATTACCATAGAGGTCCTAATTACTTTGAGATCGATGTCGATATAAGCAGCTCGGCGATCGCGACGGCGATTCTTCGGTTAGCTTTAGGGTATGTGACGAGCGTGACGATCGATATGGGGTTCCTTGCGGAGGCGCAGACGGAGGAAGAGCTACCGGAGAAATTAATCGGAGCTGTTAGGGTTTGTCGAATGGAAATGTCGTCGGCGTTTGTGGTCGATGCTCCACCGATGCAGCAACCATCGTCACAACCATGTAGAACGTTGAGTTCGGCGAAAGTTAACCACGACGAAGATGAGGATTGAGAAACAATCATCGAAAACCAGGTCAATGATTATGGAAATACATTTCTTTGTCAAGAATCTGAAACAATTTTTCATTAAAATCTCAATCAAATCTATGTTAA